GAACTGCGGGAGGACAGTACCAGAAAATACAGCTGAGTTAACGATCAGTGTTATAAAAGGTGCCTGTGCTTACTTTTAGTGTTAACAGCGGGATAACAAATGATCAAAGAATGCCATGGGTCCACCGTAAGAAAGATAGATGTAGGGAAACATGGGATCTCTGACAACTCTTTGTAGAAATATAAAACCCAACAAATAGGAAAAGACAAAATGTACAGTATACGTCCAACATGCCAGATCTTCCCTATTTAATTCATCAACATTTTTCTTCCGTTTGCCTGTTTTTATCCACTGACTACAAGCATCATTTTCATCACCTTAACTGGGCAGTCTGCCGCCAGCAAACGCCTGGGTGATCTCTTATTCCAATTAATTGCCACACCAGGATAATTTTCTTTCCCTAGACACTGGTAATGGAGTATACCCTGTCTCATCTACCGGAGCCCCTTCCAGGTCTAATGTAAACAGGCCTTGTGCTTGGCACAGAGAAAAAAAACCAGACATGATTAACGCAAACTACGAATAAGTGTGAAAATTGATGTTGGCCTGGACTTTATTTTGTCTGAATCTGTGCAGGAGGACAAATAACATAAGCCTGGTGCAGAGAAACAGAGAACTGAGCCCACTGGAACGTGGAATTGGGATGCAGATAGAATAATTAACTCTTATCAGGCCAAAGGGGAAGGCAGTATCCATCGGGTCACTCAGCAAGAAAAGATGGCCGGGTTGTGTATTATGTACCACTTGAGGAGGCCATGGGCAGGTCAGTGGCAGATATAACTCTACTCTATATGGAATAACTTCACATAACACAACATACAGGAAAGACACTAGTGTTTATTTTCCACAGTAAGTACAAAAATAAAGTTACATTGCTGCTGACACAATTTTCTGGCTCTCTGTCCACCTGACCTGCTGATACTGAGTGAGAATATAAAACTCATTTTATTTTATACAAAAGAGTTTTTAACAATGTACAGTATGACTATGAAACGACACCACAGCTAGGCCACTATATTGTAGCATGCCCATATAACATGTCAGTCCCTGAATTTCCTAAAATAGTCCTCTATGTCCCAAACACCATGCCATATATTTCAGGTCCGTACATGAAAGACATATCTTCTCCTCAACAACTCACATTTCGCCACAATTCAGGAAATAATTCAGCTCTCATAAATCTTTAGGAACTGTACCAATGGCATATCTGTAAAAAATAAATCAAGGCAACTGGACTTGCTGTATCTTTCTTGGAGATGTGTCGCTGGTCATCGGACTAGCTTTCCCCATTCTGGATTGAGAAACCTAGTCGTATGACTAGCGAAACGTATTCAAGATATACTACGACCTGGATGAATGAGAACCTTCACAGACATGTACCAACAGCCACCAGAAGTAGAAATGTCTCTAGTGTATGGATCTGAACTTGTGCCGAAAGGCTTATTCACAGGTGTGTATATAAAACCACATAATTAATGTTTATTTTTAACATGTACAATTTATTGCTTTTGTAATCTGCCAGTGGAAACAACATGCACCTCTACCTAGTGTCAATTTTCTTCTAGAGCATTCCTGGGGACCCTAAATCTAGGACACGCCAATTGGTCAACTTGGAAGCCAGTGCTTGGACACAAGAACCACCTTCCTAGCTGAAAAGGCCAATAATGGCATTTTAATGCAACCCCAGTTTGGTGGCTCCTGAGCTACTGATACTACGTGTAGGTGCCCAGAAGTGCCGGCCATCGCCTCCCGGAGCACAGATTGCAAAGATTTACTCCAAATCAGGAGCTCTTAAGGCTTTTTCAAAGCATTTGCATTCTTGTTGTTTTGACGCTTTGTCTTGTCAAAGGTCCAACCAGTAAATGTTCCTAGCTCCCCGATTTAAAAGCAAACCGCAGTGCTTAGTATTTTTTAGAACGGTACACATAGACATGAACACGTGAATACTTCTGCTGAGAATAATGAGAAGTATTATAAGAGCATTTTGCATGTGTTGAAAAAAAATCATATTAACTTCAATGTGCACTGGCAGGATATTCCTGGAAGAAAATGTGTTTATTGACATATATTTCATTCTCACTGCCAATTCTGCCTATTATTATGCCTGGGATATCAACAAAATGCAAACATTGAAAACATTTATACAGGGGCGGACCGATACCGGTTTTTCTGTATCGAGTTCTGATATTTTTTTTTCAGTACTCACCGATACTGAATACCGATATCGGAAATCCTATTAAGGAAGCCAGGCGGCGTGTAATGACTTGCCATCTGGCTTCCTGATTAGCAGGGAATCCGGGCGACGTGTAAAGACTTGCCACCCCGCTTCCCAATTAGCAGGAAAGTCATCTCCATGCCTCTTGTGACTAGGTGAGTAGGGAGCATGGAGCCGAGCCAATCAGGAATTCGGGGAGCGTGTAATCACTCGCTGCCCGGCTTCCTGATACCGGAAGCTCAAGTATCAGGCTAGGTATCGGAGCATTTGGGCCAGTACGAGTACTGGCCCAAATACTCGGCATCGGCACCGATACTATCGGTGCATCCCTACATTTATATTTGGTACACTTGTCTTTGGGCTGCTGCTAAAACACTTAGTATTGGGGACTGGAGTTCTGTTTAAAGCAGAACTCCGGGCAGAATTTTTCTTAACTCTTGCAGTGACACTACCCACGTACTGCAAGAGTAAGTGCTCGTTTATGTCTAGGCAGCTACTCCGGTCCCTTAAGCCTGTTTCCTCCTATGCGGTGGTGGTATATCCCTAGGCCTCCTCACATCCAATACACTGTGTATAGAACGCAATAACTTGAGGTTCCTTAGACCGCTGCAGCGGAGGAGGATCCGAGGATAGTGTGAGTATAACCTTTTTTGTTTTTAGCACCCAGACACAAATAAGAGCTCAACCCTTGCAGTGCAGGGGTAGCCCCACTGCAAGCGTTAAGAACCATTTTGCCCAGTGTTCTGCTTTAAGTTATCCACAGCAACCAGTTAGATTTTAGTCCAGCTTTTATCTGTTTTAGTGCACTCAAAATAATAAAGACAATTCCTGAATGGTCACTAGAGGTAACTAACTATACACTGCACTGTGCTCTGAACCACTTTTAAGTTAGATTGGGATAATGCCGACTTTATATTTGTTACATGTTCTCATTCACACTGCATAACTTAAATATTGCTGCTTATATTTGTAGGTGCTTTATACTTGCTTAAAAATCCTACCTAGCTTTCCCCCTGTGTAATTGTAAAGGAGAACTATGAGGTGAGTGAAAATCACTCAGCCTCATAGTTCGAGCCGATGTGTGACAATGAGACTGTCACACGTCGGCTCAATAGATCGGGAAGTGAGTGAACACATACCGTCGCGCGCTCTCTTCTCGATCATTTCCCTGCAGAGAGCAGTGACTGTCAGTCACGGCTCCCCCCTTCCTCCCCTCTCTGATCCTCCAGCGCTGAGAGGAGGAACGGACGGGGCGGGTACAGCTGTCTCTGTTTCTAGATAGGCAGAGCCGGCTGGCACTCACGCAGCTGGGTGGATCTCAACAGTAATGTCGGGATCCGTCCCGGCTGCGGTGGTCTCAGTGTACCGCAAGCTGTAGCTCGCGATATACTGAGCTTTGGGTCACGGGAAGACATTAGTATATGTCCTCTCGTGACCCTTAAGAGAACTATGGGGAAAAACACTTACCCCATAGTTCTCTTTTAAGGAGGGGGTTGTGGGGAGTTATGTTTACTCTATTTAAACCTGTCTGTACTGTGCTGGCAGATCTTATTATCAGTTGTAAATTAGATTTGAATTCTATGAGGGTAATTTATCGAAACTGGAGCAGACAAAACCTGGAGCAGTTGTGCATGGCAACCAATCAGCTTCTCTCTTTCCTTTTCAAATCTTAACTGAACAAACTGAAGAGACAAGCTAATGGGTTGCCATGCACATCTGCTCCAGATTCTGTCTGCTCCAGTTTTGATAAATTCCCCTCAGTGTGTGCTAACAAAGAGTTAAAGACTTCACAGCATTATATGTTAACGAGAGGTCAGTCTGTCCTCAGTTTGCCCCTCTACATTCACTTTCAAACTGCTCAGAGTGGCCTGGAATCTGCACAAAGGCCTTTACCAAGGAAACATCTAAAAGGCAATAAATATAAATATATTTATTCATTTTCAGTATGCTGTGTGAATGGGAACACATAACAAACAGAGTGGTTTTCTCAAATTTGGCTATAAAGGTGGAAATACACTTTAAAGACATCTATCACATTTCCCAGCCAGGAAAGAGTAACAGGTCCTCTTAATAACCCCCTACCCTGATACTCACTTTGTTGGCTCCCTGCCACTCTGCTGGAGCCTTTGGAAAAACCTGATACTTCTGAGAATGGGGGTGCATCTGACAGTTCCTTCCTCCAAGGATGCAGTGCTTGGGCCTGGGCAGACAATTGTCATGTTCGAACACGGCCATGTGACAGAGGCAGGAAGGTCATCAACTCCATGGAAGCTCTGACAAGGACCAAACACAAGGATTAAACCTAAGGCTCTGGCATGCAAACAGGGCGGCAGGGGAGCAAGGAGAAGGTAAGTATCACTGGGGTGCTATCAAGCAAACCTATCACTCCTCCCTAAAGGGGAAAATGGACAGATTCATTTTAAGACTGGTCACACTAGGAGCTGTCCTCTCCAGTGCAAACAAACTGGAATGCGCTGTATTAAATGAGTCATTTTCAAACTACAGGGCTGCATTAGGCTGTGCTGGAAAATAGCCCTGTCTGCCGAATTTTTGTAACTGAAGTGGAATGGCTTATATCACAACAGATATTGTGACACAGTCATCTGGTGGAAACAAAGTTCCATCACTAGCATTTGTATGAATCTTTTTCTTCTTGTTGGGATAAGGTGTAGAGCTCCATGCATCAACATCGCTTTCATTGACGTTCTGCATTGCTGTAAGATTCAGATGATATTCATTTGTCGTCATTACAAGTGTTAAAAGAACTGTGGGGTGCTGGATCAGAGATTCGGTGTATGAGGACACTGGAAGAATCCAATCTCTGCATCAGCTGGAATGCCTTCATGCTTAAACAAGCAAGAGAAGAGAAAGTGCTGTGGCACTGATACAACCTTAAGGCTTATGGTGAAGTTCAATGGAATCGAAGAAGCTTAAGTCCTCCAGGTCAAAAGTCTGTTCCAATGGTGCAAGAAAGTCTTGGAGTTGCTTAAACCGATGACAATCAGTACAAGCAGGTAGAGTGTCATCAAGATAGCAAAACGGTGGCTTGCAAACCAAGATGGCTGCTTAGATCTGTGAGAAGAAAATATAGAAAGTATGCAATGATGATTAAAGCTGAGTATCAGGCAAACGGCTAAATTAACATTCAAAACACTATACATTCATTGGAGATGCTTTGCCTGAGCTTTACACAACCCTGCTAGGCATCACTCCAAAGGAACACATTTAAAAGAGAACTATGGGGTAACCTTTTCATCCCATAGTTCTCTTTAGGGTCACGGGAGGACATTTACTAACCTCCTTCCGTGACCCAAAGCTCATTATTTAACAAGCTATATATACGGAGAGTGCAGCAGCCGGGACGGATCCCGACAATACTGTCGAGATTCACCCAGCTGGTTGATTGACATCTAGAGGCAGAGCAAGCTGTGCCTGGCCCCTCCCCAGTCCGTTCCTTTAGTCAGCGCTAGAGGATCGGAGAGGGGAGGGGGGAGACCCTGCGGGGAGCCGTGACTAACAGAAATGTTATTTTAAATTAAAGATATTATCAAATTTTTTTAAATCCGATTGATCGAAAAAATGATCGGCCAACTAATCGATTATGAAAATTATCATTAGCTGCAGCCCTACTGATAAGCTCATCCCCCTGCTTTCGCCTCCCATCTGCATGCTGCATGTCAGCACATGTGTATGAGACACACCCAAGTGACCCCTAGTGCTATCTCTCCATCTCCTAGTCTATGTTGTACTGTACAGGGGAAAAGGTCTGATGCCAAGTTAGATTCAGCTACTTACACTGACTACATTTAATGTTTATTATTACGATAACTACATTCACTGCGATTTATTTAATATTTGCCTGGAGTTCAACATTTAAATATAAGAGCAGCACCATTAAATACATACAAAGCAATACACTTTTGGCACCACAAATATCCCAAAAGAAACAACACAGTAGCAGGCGGTGACTGCACTACTTACCTCCTCTTTGGCTGCTCTAGAGAATAAACCAGAAGATATTTGACTCGCAGCAGCTGATTGTTGATCACCACAAAGTATTTCTGCGGAACATCTCCACCCTCGCTGTTCCGTGCTCTAGCTCTTTTCCGATCTATACCAGTTGAATCTGTGCAGGGTTTGAGAAAAAGGATAACTATAGTAACTATACTCAGTATTTGCATCCCCTGACCACATTGAAAAACTCCAGGAAAAATTATTTTTACCCCTGCAGTGGGAGGTTAACTGCTCGTTTTCATCTAGGGTGTAAAAAAACAAACGTTATACTCACCCAAAAACTCGGAGCCAACCGTCTCCTAGACCACTCCCCCCCACCCTGTCTCCTCCTCCGCTGCAGTGATGTAATGTCCCTAGGCATCTTCACATCCCATACACAGCGTATTGGACGTGATGACTCCAGGATCCTTAGACTGCTGGAGCGGAGGGGAGAGAGGCTGGAAGGACCGGGTAGCCCCACTGCAAGGGCTAAGAATAATTTTTGCCAGAGTACTTCTTTAAAATATAAAGATTTCAGTGTAATCACCCTTAGACTACTTTCGCCCAAGGGCATGAAACACTGCAGCTGTCACACTCCAGCTCTATCTACCGAGCGCTGAGCGATTATGTAACCAATGATCACTCTTCTCCCTGTAGATAGTAGTGACTGTCAGTCACTGCTCCCCGCAGGGATTCCTCCCTCCCCTCTCTGTTCCTCCAGCATTAGAGGGACAGGCAAGGAGGGGGGGGGGGGGGGGGGCGACGTTTGGCTGGTCCAGGAAGACCGAGTGGAGTGAAGGAAACAGTAGGTAAAGTAAAGGCAGGGAAGGGGGGGGGGGGGGGGGCGGATACAGCTGGCTCTGACTCTAGAGAGGCAAAGCCAACTGTCAATCAGGCAGCGGGGTGGATCTAATGAATATTATTGGGATCCTTCCTGACTGCAGAGTAGCTCTGCGCTGTCAGCATATATCAGGCAGTAGCACGCTAGATACTGACTTTGGGTCACAGGAGCACATTGGTAAATATACTCCTGTGATCCAAAAGAGAAGAAAAAACAAAAAAAGAAAAGGTTTGGGTTTATTTCTCTTTTAATTGTTACAATTTCATGAGTAAGTAATGCGAGTTGTATTTTATTGGTGCCATCAACTTCTATAGTTTACCATATAGCTGTGTATATTAGACTTGGTTTGCAGAAATCGAAGGGAAAATGCAGCTGTAATTGGGGACAGAAACCATAAAGAAATCCTATAAGGCTCAGCCCTCTTACAGTACGCATAATGATATTTTACTAGAAACAATGAAAAGGAAACAGATGCCATTTTTATTAAAGCACCCAATACTCTCTCTCACCTTTTTTCTTGATCTGACACTTGACATCGGGATGATCGATCATCTCACACACAGCGACGCAACTAAGCACAGGGCCCAGTAAACTATGAGCCCACCCCTGTCCATGGGGGCTATATAGAAGAGCCAGACTCAGGTCACTGGTCAGGTAGGTCCCTTCCCCAAACAAAGAAGTCTGCAAGGAATAGACTTAACATGTTCATATATCTTTGGATTAATGATACATGATACATGATAATGATACATGGATTATGAACATATGCATTAAACATTGACATCTACACAGGGGCTCAGCCTGCTTGTTGAGTAGTTATAGTTTCTTCTCTCATAAATATTAATTCCCTGGCAAAATGTTTATGCATCAAGCCACCACCCTAGCGGACTTACCATAGTCATGTTATACCACTGCATTTAAACCTATTAAACTGCAGCTGTCAATGCAAGGCCACTGCAACTTTTCATACACAATGGAGCACGAGAGGGAGGTTGCACAGCATGAAATCATGTGACAGGAAGCTGAAGAAGATTTGCACGAAAAGTCAACAACTTCATAAATATACACTATATTGCCAAAAGTATTGGGACACCCCTCCAAACCATTGGATTCAGGTGTTGCAATCACCTCCATGGCCACAGGTGTATAAAATCAAGCACCTAGGCATGCAGACGCTTCTACAAACATTTGTGAAAGAATGGGTCGCTCTCAGGAGCCCAGTGAATTCAAGCCTGGTACCATGATAGGTTGCCACCTGTGTAATAAGTCCATCCGTGACATTTCCTTGTTAGTAAATATTGGGGTGGAGGAACTTGAATGGCCTGCACAGAGTCCTGACCTCAACCCGATAGAACACCTTTGGGATGAATAAGAGCGGAGACTGCGAGCCAGGCCTTCTTGTCCAACATCAGTACCTGACCTCACAAATGCGGTTCTGGAAGAATGGTCAGACATTCCCATAGACGCACTCCTAAACCTTGTAGATGCCTTCCCAGAAGAGTTGAAGCTGTTACAGCGGCAAATGGTGGGCCAACTCAATACTGAACCCTACGGACTAAGACTGGGATGCCATTAAAGTTCATGTGCGTGGAAAGGCAGGCGTCCCAATACATTTGGCAATATAGTGTATCTTCACTGGACTGTATAAATCTTAAAAGGGGAACAAAACCCTCCTGTCCTTTACAGCTGAAGACATTAGGCTGAAACCATTAGGAAGAAATTCCCAAATGTAATCAAACATTTTGACAGATAGTAAAAGAAATGTGTGAAAAAACCATGAGAGGGTACAGACAGAAATAAAGAGAACACATTTACTGGGGAAATCCTTAGAAACTCCATTTATCACTAAAAACGAACTGCTGGAGTTCCTGCACCTGTCTACACACATATTATGTAATGTATTAATGCCCAGTGACCTGTAGGTACTCCCATGTCTATTCCCATGTCTCACCTTGTTTAGGTGACAGTGCAAGCCATTGTGCAGAATGGAATGGAAGTTCTCCAGCCGGCTGCCATGCAAGGCATAAATGATGTCTCGCTCTCCGCGCGTCTCCTGGAATTTGGCGTTTAGCTTCTCACAGTATTCTATTTCAAACAGGAAGTCAGGAGTGGGCAGAGCAAGTGTGGGAGAACCTGGCAAGGCTTGGACCTCTTCAAACTGAAACAGCAAGGGAAGGGCAGCCTTAATTTAAGGCTGGGGTAAGTTTCCAGAATGGTTAGTACAGACATGGATCTCCCCCCAACGCTGGACATACATAGAGGTTTACATAGAGGTTAGGACTTATTACAATTGTAAAACTCTTTTAAAAAGCAGTAATAAGCCCAGAGCGACTTTCATTGCAAAGCAGCAGCGCAATAAAGCTGCTCTACGATTCCAGTTAAAGGACAGGAATAGCAGCTTGTGTTAAAGTGTATATAAAACCAAAAAGTAGGGATGTTCAGATACCAAGTACAGATACTTTTCCAGCTCCAACACTAGACTAGAAAAAACTGCAAAAATTAGGAGGCAGCTGTCATTTGTGAGGAGCATACGAAGCTCCTGGGATTTGTACATCTCTGTTTTAATGTATGATTTATTTATTTTTATAAATACATATTAGGGATGCACATTTTTCCAAGTACAAGTACTAATACTTGTCCAAGTACTGACAGATACAAGTACTGATACATTTTTGTTTATTGTCATGTGACAGTTTTTCTAAAACAATATCGACTAATGATTTCAGGACAGTGGTGGAGCACCAGAGCCAGGTCCCAGCTGCAACCTCTGCAACCCAGGTAGTTCTCATGAAAATGCCAAGTATCTGCACTGGTATCTGAACATCCCTTCCAAAAATAAAAATCATATATATATATTGCAGCTTACCTATCACTAAATGTGGTTTTCTTTTTTCCCCTCTTTATTTTCACCTGGTGATTCAGCCAGTAACACACTTCCTTTCTTAGAATGGCTCCACTCTATGGAGGAGCAATAGAATCCCCTTGGACAGCAGCATTGTAACCCTGTGGAGGGGATGTCTTAGATGCTCTAGGAGATTTAGATGGACTTGACTAACAAATTAAATCTGAACTCCAGATAACACTTTTTAAGCAGTAACAGCAACTGTTTTATTTCCCCTTTCGGGATAAAGGTTTTCCATAAATGAATAACATTTGACCATTGTAAGGACCCCTGCCAGTGGCCAATTGTTTGCAAACCCTCTATCTGCCACTTTTGCTGGACAGCTTGGCCTGTTAAGGGAAGTTGAGAAATAACACACGTATTGGCCAGACCACCAGAAGAAAATAAAGGAATAAAAGCCTAAAAAATTGTACAAAAGTGTACAAATGTACAAAAAAAGCAATCTTTGATGTGTTTCTGCCTCACCCAACCTTAGCCATTATCCTTATCCAGCATGAAGGGCCGGTTGTTGACTAAGGCCAAGTGAGGCAGAAACGCCTCAGTAAACCAATCTCTTTTTTTGCTGTGGGGGGGTTAGTACCACTTTAAAGGAAACCTTTGCTGGGAAAAACATGGAGGCTGCCGTTTCTGACTTTTCATTTCACGAAGGTTAGTTGTTGGGTGTTATGCTAGCTCCCACAGGAGAAGCTTTTATGTAGCTCCCACGGGAGAAGCGAATGCGAGTGTAACTTGAGTGACAGCTCTGGGTCTGCTGACATCACATCCAAGATGCTGGTGCCCAGCAGCAATCTCAGGGCTTTTGAATGTCTACAAAAAGAGGCTTTTACAGATAAATAATGCACATAAAATATGTTAAAGATTGTTGTTGAAATGAACGATCTGATGAAAGGGTTCTTTTTAAGATCTACCGCACTCATACAAGCATATGCATATATACTCTAGGGCCAGTTTGGGCAGATGGCACACCCTATATAAACACAAGTACATTGACACCGCTCCAAGCAGTCAGTGTCCTTGGCAGGGAATAAACTGGATACCTCATTCCGCAAACACAAGAGGATTTACAAGCCACAGGGCTTTTTTTTTCTTTTTCTAAAGTTTTGGTCTCCCATAGGCCTCATTTACATGGGGGATGTTGCTCCATGCAGCATGAAGGGCCGGTTGTTAATATGCCCAGAGCTGCAGGAAGATGTTGTGTGGGTAGCTCGTTTAAAGAAGAATTATCGGGTGAGTGAAATACACTCAGCCCTAAAATTCAAGCCGACCTGTGACACTGAAGCTGTCACACGTGGGCTCTATAGATCGGGAAGTTAGTGAACACATACTGCCGATCGCCGACTTCCCGATCCTCTCCCTGCAGAGAGCGTTGACTGTGAGTCATAACTCCCCACCGGGATTCCCCCCTCTCCTCTCCCCTAATCCAGCGCTGACTGGAGAAACGGGCAGGAAGGGGGCAGGTACAGATGGCTCTGCCTCTAGAGAGGATGAGCCAGCTGTCAATCATCCAGTGGAGTGGATCTCGACAGTATTGTCAGGATCCATCCCGGCTACGGCGTGGCTCTGCGCTGTCAGCATATAGCGGGAAATAGCCCGCTATATACTGAGTTTTGGGTCATCGGAGGACAGTAGCATATGTCCTCCTGTGACCCTGAAGAGAACGAAAAGGCCAAAAAAGGTTAGGCCATAGTTCTCTTTTAACTCTAAGACAAGTGTGGGGCCATTCATTTTTCCAAGGGCCCACATGAGAAACTGGAACTGTTGTGGGTCTTAATAGGCTCTATTGGTGTGGCCCTCCACAACAGTCCCAGTTTCTCATATGATTACTGCATGGTACCACGCAATGCACCCACCGTGTGTTACAATGCAGCAGGTGCGCTGTGTTGCCATACATTTGAATGGCACCCTAAATGCACCTTCCGCAATACCATGCATTGTGGTGCGGTTGAAAAAAGAAGTACATACAATGCATCTGCTGCACTGTAATGCACAGTAGGTAACTGCATAAGTGTAAAAAGGCCCTTACTGTCCCCACATACTATGGTGGAGCTGCAGGAGGCAGTGGTCCTAGGAACCAATGACTACAGAAGAGGATCCATGATGTCATTGGTTGCTAGGACACCTGCTGTCGTAGCAACCAACAACTGAAGAGGAATGTGGTCCAGACACAGACCGATTGACAACCTGCACTGGGCTATGCCTTGCAGTGGATGCACCGGCCTTGAAGGCCGGCACATCCACTGTGAGCCAGCCATAAACTAGGGTAGGTCATTGACTTGTCAGTGTCTGGACGGTGGGCCGGACAGGTGTAGACAAAGCGCCCGGTATAGCCCGCGGGCCGTAAAATGAACAGGTCTGCTCTAAGGAGATGCTTCCTGCAGCTCTGTGTTCTGACAGCTGCACACAGACAGTGTACAGACCTGGATCCATCATATCTGCGTCCGAGGCCATAAACCGTCTGTGTGCGGCTTTCAAATCTTGGAGCTGCGGAAAGCAACATGAGGGCGTGCAGCTCATGCGTCTCCAAAGACTTACATAAGCTGCCCGCATGCTTCTTCCTGCAGCTCTGGGCACATCAACAACTGGCCCTTTAAGCTATATGGAACAACACGCCCGGTGTGAATGAGGCCTAAAATAGAAAGTAGTAGAGATACATATAAGTTCTATAGTCACCAATGAGAGTAAAGGCACAAAACTATTTAAGGTGGCACATATGTAAAAAGTGCTATTTATTATTTCTGCATTTTCAGCTGAAATATTCCATTAGCCTTTGTATCACTCAAATACTGTATCTGCTCCCTCACAGAACCTGCATTGTGACTGGTGTCACCTATTTATTCATTTATAGAAACATTCCATTTTCTGATTAGCTGTCTTACCTTCTCCTTTTTAAGGCCTTTGATGGTGAAAAGTTTCTCTGACAATATCCAGCTTAGCAGATCCCTGACTTTCTGATCGGCTCTTGACTTGTTATGGATGAATTCTTGCAGGCTCGGTAAGGTGTTTGTGTCAGCAATCTAACAAGACATCAACATTAGTAGATGCCGGCAAATACAGTGTACAATATGAGATACTTCCAAGAAACTCAAACATTCATACTTGGGAGAAGCAGAGATCCTTTTTACATTCAGAAACCTCTTACAATGCAACAAGTGCTGCTGTGTTTAGCATTTCGGTAGCATTACATAGTAGGTAGATGCATACACCATAGGCATAATGCTTTTGTATGGTAGACAAAGACAATGATCACCAATTTATCAAACTGCAAAGTCACTGTGGAAATGCTAAATAGTTAAGGCATACGAAAATGGCCTCTCGATCAATGTTATTGTATGCAATTTTACATGAGACACAATAATCTGCGTGGGGGCCCCTTTCCGAAGGCAATAGCAAGGTGACAAACTCCTTGGTGTCACCTTCAGAAAAGGGGTCCGTCACGACCTAGAAACATCAATGGATATTATGTGCTTTCTTATTCTTTTTATGAATATAATATAATAATTTTATATTTATATTTTTTACATTTGTATTTTGACCTCAATAAATTGTTGAGGTATATGGGTGGTGTGCTAGCTATGTCTTGTCCTTGAGTAATATAACATGGTGTCACCATAAGCCGAACACTACAAAATTGGGCGTATGGGCATGGCACTGGATGGAATGGACACTGGACAATAAAAACCTGATAGGAGTATCAACTGCTTAAAAAATGTTTCTTGCAGTCCATGCACCTATTGCAACGTGATGAATCAGGGTTAAGTCTGTCTGAAACTGACCAGCATAGCTGACCACTGGGTATATTTCTGATAGTGCTGACACCTGATACAGCCACACTAGCCAGTACAGAGGTCCGAAATACATTTATGCATTTTATATCTACATACGTTTGCAGATGTATGCGGGAACTGCATGGCATATAAGGTCGCCTCTGTATCATTCAGTCCAGCGCTAATCTATATGTGTACTAGGAAATATTTTATAACATACAGTGAGTAACTAGAATGGACATTTTACAATCTTAAAGTGACACTAAATTCAGGAGTTAAATCTTACAAATTCATTCAAGTAACTTAAACAGAAATGTATCTTATTTGTGTATCACTCGGCTGTAGATCCTCAAATCATCTCTGAATTGGTGCTGACACTGTCCTCCCATCTGGAGGGTGACTCCTTTTGTTCCCCGTGGTCCCTGTGTGTGTTGTAAAGTAGTCACCGCTCCAAGCTCGCTTTTAGTTTACTAACTTGCATTGAGATTGTAGTCCATCACTTGATCGAGCTTGGAGTTATGACTACTTTACTACACATATAGGATTGACAGTCTCATTGTCACAGGTCGGCTAGAACTATGAGGTGAGTGGAAATCACTCATCTCATAGTTCTCCTTTAAGGTACTGGAATGTATTTTTGAGATTTAACTCCTGAGTTTAGTGTCACTTTAACCATGTAGTAAAACATACAGAAAGTCTCAGATCTGTGCAACTGCAGTGTCAGAGGTGCAGGCATACAGTCTTTAGTCATAGCCGGTTTATAGTCCTACTGTGCAGACCTGAACAACAGGTTACACACAGCTGAATGGCTAATAAAAAGTGTTCAATCGGCAGTAGCAGGCAGCAAGTACGGAGCTAATGTTAGGTGCTCCTATTAGGCAGCCCAGCGTCCACTGCAAACACTGAAACGTGGAAACAATCTTTATTAAATGTTTATTTGTAAGGAAAAGGATTTTATGCAAATGATAAAAAAAATAGTATAAAAAAATAATTGTATAAAATATCAGTTTATAAACTTTGAGAAAAAAACAAACTGATCAAAGACTACTACAGTTTTCTTAATTATAATAATTTTTATATAGGATTCATATAGCGCCAACAGTTTGCGCAGTGCTTTACAAAAATGAAGGGAGACAGTAGAGTAGCAATACAATGCAAGACGAGAGGGTTAAGGGCCCTGCTAGAGAGAGCTTCTAAATAGTCATGAAATCTTTATCATTTTATTTCAAATAAAAATATGTTTTGCACATGACAAATGCTTTTTGAAAAGATTGGCTTTAAAGAAAAAACAACTGAATGAACTGTTCCAGCACACGCTGACTGCTAGCCAGTAATTACATTCAAGGACAACGCAGGCAGCCAATTTTAGGCTTAAAGCTGGCTATACATTAGATAACATTCACACAAAGTGATGACTTTGGCACGCCTAACACAATCTCACTGTTCACACTATCAGAAATGTCTTGTTCTCCTGTAAAGCTGAACTCCAGTCACACTGGTAATTACAAACTTGATACCTTTGTCCTTTAAAATCTTGATTAAAAAAAATATATATAAACAGAAATATATATATTGGAACGGTTTTACCGGCAAAGGGTTTGTATGTCCAGGGGTGTGGAAATTTTAGAAAAAACTACTTGTCCAAGGGCTAAAGCGGGGGTCAAATCTACTTGTCCTTCATGACAATCTACTTGTCCCAATACAAAAAAAAAAAAAAGTTTTAAAAAAGTTTAAAACTAGGGAAGCACCATTACCAGTTTTTGGTTATCGAGTATGAGTACCAATATTTTGCTTTCAGTACTCACTGAGTATCGGTGCTTCCGTTTGCATGGAGCAGGCTTCCCGGGCAATCAGGAAGCCGGGCAGCGGGTAATGAGATGCTACCCGGCTTCCTGACTGCCAGGGAAGCCGACTCCATGTTGTTTGGCCGGCTTGATTGTGAATGGCTGGGAAGCCCTGTTTCCCGGCCAATCATCATCGAGCCAGCTTGCTAGCCAATCAGGAAACCTGGCGGAGAGTAATGACCCGATTGGCCGGGAAGATAGCTTGATGCTGATTGGCGGCCAATCAGCAAGGAGCTGGCTTCCTGGCCAATAACCTCACCAATGAGTGCTTGCAATTATCTATGGTGAGCTCCCGTGCCGTGGTGACGGGTCCAGCAGAGGAGCGGGGGATCACTTGTATGAAAACGAGCGGCGGCTCCACAACATGCATTTAGCTCTGCTTGTCCGGAGCAGGGCTGAATGTATTAAAAAACTACTCGCCCGGCGCCCGAAACTGCCTGTCCCGGGCGTCGGGCGATAGGAATTCCACACCCCTGATGTCCGTATATCCCGTCCTGAGTCCCTGCTAGACTGTCCAGGCTGGCGATTTTACTTTTCCATGCTGTAGGCAAAGAAGAACCCTTGAGTGGGTCTACCCCTGCACTGCAAGGGTTAACTGCTCATTTTGGTCTAGGGGGCTAAAATAAAGAAAACATACTCACCCAACCCTTGGTCCTGCGGTGGTGGGCACTCACCCCTCTCCCCCTCTGCTCTGGTGGTGTAATGTCAGATGCATTAGATGTCATGGGTCCTAGTCTAGCAGCCAGGTGGGACCGAGGATCAGGTGAGTATGTTTTCTTTACTTTAGCCCCTAGACCAAAACGAGCAGTTAAACCTTGCAGTGCAGGGATAGCTCCACTGAAAGGGTTCATTTTTAGATTTCCAGGCGTTCTGCTTTAAGCAACACACACAAGTCACCTCCCTTTCCCCAACCTGTGACTGGACAGTAAAGGAGCAGCAACAGACTAATCAGGTCATCTTCCTGCTCTCAGCTCCTGTCAGCATGTTCTTTGCCTACAGACATACAAATAGAAACCTGATGGACCTCATGCTCTGCCCCTCTCTCCCAGTCTGTGATTACGCAAGGCTGCATTCAAGTCATATTTAGGTATTTATCACATTTTTTCATTCAAAATACACATCCATTATGGTTTTTTTTTTTTTTTTTTAAATATGCGCGGAGTTCAGCTTTAAGCAATCCTACGAAGGCTGTTTTCAAAGCCTGAATTTATGGAAATAAAATTAATTCATTTCAGTTGTCATTTCATACCAAAGCATCGAAATCCTTGTACTGGTCACTGGCATAGAATGGAGGATACGGCCTTAGCACAGAGTCCCTTTTATAGCTCCTCAAGGCAGACATGAAGAGGCTACATTTCAAATCCGCTGCTAGTGGATCCCTGGCAATAACGTGCTCTGCCATCGCTTTATTCCAGCCACGGGTGTCACCGCAGTCACTGTGCAAACAAAAGAGAAACACAAAAAGATGAGACGGTGACCCACACATTTTATTCCAACAGTGATCAGTCAAGAAGTGAGGACAGGAGTACAAGGAAAAGTCCTGATCCGAGTGACACCAGGGACCTGCAGCCTTTGCCTTGTCCTGATCCGAGTGACGCCTGGGACCTGCAGCCTTTGCCTCAATCTTCAAGAATGTTGGGGATATTCCCACAGATTTATCTGCATGATATCTATAAGATGTGGACTAGAAGTCCTACGAGGAACTTTCATATTGTAAGGACTTTAGGAGAAGAATAATTTATACCCACAACCTGATGTTCTGCAAATTCAGCCACTGTCCCACCAACTGTCTACTCTTGGCCTACTAATGAAGATCAGCACACTGGTGATGTCTGAACTCTGAACCTCCTGGAAACCCATAAATGTACCTCTACTCTCAAAATTCAACTTACAACCTAGGCACCCCCACTGTGAACTTGATGTCAACCTGTCACTTGTCATGTAAAAATGAAATATAGTAAATCAAATCTCGTTTAAATATCCTACATTTTTTCTAATGGTGCCTCCATCTGTACTGGGTTCATGGTGTACTCTGAATGGGATGGATAGGTGACAAGTCAACTTGGTGGCTCTGCTACAAACCTTCTCCCATTGATGAACTGCCACTATCAGTGTCAGGTGAGATTAGATGGTTACATTCTTGTGTATTAGGTGGGATGCCATTTAACAAAGACTTGGCCTCTAAATTCTCCCGATCTCAATCCAATCGAGCCTCTGTGAGAAAAACAAGTCCAATCCATGGAGGCCCCACCTCGCAACTTACAGGACTTAAAGGATCTGCTACTGATGGCTTGGTGCCAGATACCACAGCATACCTTCAGAGATCTAGTGGAGTCCATGTCTGGATAGGTCAGGACTGTTTTGGCAGCAAAAGGGGAACCTACTCAATATTAGGCAGATGGTCATGATGTTATAGATCCTGATTCAGCCACAGAAGATGTTCAGAAAACCGATGCAAAAATGACAAATGTTCACCTAAGATCAGTATTGTTCAGTTGTTAACACCTATACTGTCTGATTATTGAACATCGTTCACCAAGACAAGGATAAGGAACCATAAAACTATAATAAGCCCCTGTTCACAGTTGTGTGACTTGTCACGCGCCTGCCGTTGTGCTGCAATGCATGACAATGTACATCACATTATTCTCTATGGTGTCTATTCACACCTATGGAACATGATGTGGTGTGATTTGTGGAGCTACATAGTGTGTTTTTAGCCCCAAAGACTTTAATGGGAGCGCATGAAAACCAGACACGCATTATATTATATTATATACACTCCAGCTATTGTGGAACTACAAGTCCCAATGAGGCATTGCCAGACTGACAGGTATGACTCCCACAGGCATGTTGGGATTTGTAGTTAAAGCACAGCTGGAGGGCCGAAGTTACACAAACCTGTGTTAGGACTAAACTTGAGCTACACATGGAACACAGGGGGGTGTTGTAGCTCCTCACAGTGCTCAGACATTCTACTGTATGCTGACGTTTAATAGGTTCCTGCACGCCATTGCTCCTTACACCCCGAGTGTTTCTTATGTTCTGACCTCCTCACACTTGACCAGCTTTGTACATTCAGAGTCTGTTTATCAAGTGTTTTTCTTACCATTTTCTTCTTTATTCGACACCTACGCAGTCCACTGAGTAAACAGCTCATTAAACTGTCACATTCTCAGTTTTTCTCAAGTTTCTTTGGGGTGCCATCTGTTCAGCACAGCTTTACTTCTTTAACATAATATAAAGAATAACAGGGAAGTATTCCGACATGAACCAACTTCACAAATGACACTTCTCCGGTTGTAGGTGGGCATATCGGATGTAGAAAACAGGTCTTGGGCACAAAATTATTACAGATATGTGCCAACTGTCAGGACATAAACTGATGGGCTGAATAAGCATCGAATGATTGAAGGGCATGGGTGGGCAAATGAATATGGAACCAGGTGCCAATAGGCTTTTTTTTTTAGAAGCCAGCTCCATTGGCAACAACTAGAGAGAACCTCAAAAGTTAGGCTCTGGCTGCCATGAAAGGCCAAACCTTTTTTTCTGGTCAAGTTTACCAAAGTCAGCACCTAGCGGCCATTGCCCACTTTATGCTGACAGAGCAGAGCTGGGAAGAATCCCGACAATATTGCTGGGGTCCACCCCACTGCCTGATTGACAACTGGCTCTGCCTCTCTAAGGGCCAGAGCCAGCTATACTCGCCCCCTCCCCTGTCTGTCCCTCCAGTGAGCACTAAAGGAACAGAAAGAGGAGGGAAACCTTATGGGAAACAGTGACCGGCAGTCACCGCTCTCTGCAGGGAGATTGTGAGTTGAGCGATCAGCGGTCACATGAGACCAAGCAGCTTGACGTTTGTGTTTGACCACATTGGGTCAAAGTGGTTTATCAATAAACTGCATCTTTATTTCACCTTGAATAATGCAAAAGTTCTGGATTATGAAAAAGATCAGGGGTAAGTAACCTTGGCACTCCAGTTGTGGTGAAAATACAAATCCCAGCATGCCTTTGCCTGCGGCTGTCAGAGTCTTGCAATGCCTCATGGGTCTTGCAGTTCCACAACAGCTGGAGTGCCGGGGTTGCCTAATTCTGATATAGACACACAACGACCCCCACTTCTATCATGTATACCTGACTAGAAAAGCCCCGTTATGGAGTTTGTCCGCTGCTGATATAATTCATTCAGCCTGGTACCCATGGCGTGCTGCATGTACTCCACCTACTGAAGGGAAATTAATGATAAACTTTACAAATAAGCAGAGCTGCTGTCACTGCTCTTCAGATTTTACAACATTTCTAAGCTAGTTGGAGAAGAGACAAACGTTTTTTTTCCTTTTTTTTTGGATAAGATGTGGGTAGAGTTAAAACCTCTGTCTGTTTTTTCTGCATTTCTAAGCCAAGGCTGGGCAAATCCCAGGAGCCAGGTCGCCAATGCTCCTTAACAATTACCTGCCACCTAAAAAATGTGGTTTTCATCTGCCAATGATGCTGCCTCCTGGATTGGACAGACTGGCTCCTAAATTCCATCATCTGTCCAACCCTGCCCTTAAGGTTTCCCCATCGCCTTCCTTCCTGATAGCCCCATCCTCCACTACAAAGGAGAAGTTTCTGCAATGTTAAGCCTGATGAAGGGACCGTGTGTGGCCCCGAAAGCGCTTGTTTTTACTTGATATGGTTCTTATTAAATGAACACATGGTTATCCTGAAAGGATTTTTGGTGTGTTGGTGACATTTCCTCAATTGATTCCTGTAACCAGCGGTGCCATCCGCAGTCACTACAAGCACCCTCCCCTGTCATTGGGGCATCTTTTAAGGAGTGCAACAAGTTTCTGTCTATATTCTCATGTATAAACCTTCCACCCAATGTAAATCTGGGCAAATGCTATTTACGTGACATTACCACCACTAGATGGGACCAATGGCAAGTTAAAGGAATTCCCCTCTTAGACAGGAGTCCCTGGAACATGATTCCCCATTCCATAAAAACGTAACCCTTGCCCCCGCCACCAAAAACTAAAATAAAAGATTTTGTCTAGAGATACACTTGTTCCCCATGGTCCCTGTGTGTCTTGTTAAGTAGCCACGGCTCCAAGCTTGCTCCTGTGATGGACTACAATCTCATTACAAATTATTAAACTATATCTGAGATTGTAGTCAATCACGGGAGCGAGCTTGGAGCGGTGGCTACTTTACAACACAAAATCCATGAACCCATCGCACGACACTCCATTCTACAGAGCTCGCACTCCATTCTACACAGCTCGCACTCCTTTCTACACAGCTCACACTCCATTCTACACAGCTCACACTCCATTCTACACAGCTCACACTCCATTCTACGCAGCTCGCACTCCATTCTACGCAGCTCGCACTCCATTCTACACAGCTCGCACTCCATTCTACACAGCTCGGACTCCTTTCTACACAGCTCGCACTCCATTCTACAGAGCTCGCACTCCATTCTACACAGCTCGCACTCCATTCTACACAGCTCGCACTCCATTCTACAGAGCTCACACTCCATTCTACACAGCTCACACTCCATTCTACACAGCTCGCACTCCATTCTATAGCATTGATCAGGAGTTGCAGGGTGATGTTCCTCTCCTTGGGGCTGATCTGGGGCCACAGACAATGTTATCTTCAGGTCTGCCATCGCGGGGATGTGAAGTTTGTGGATTTCTCGGGCACATTTTGGGAATATTCAGCGGCGGAATCTGTGATTTGTTCTGGTCAGGACACACGGAGAACATTGAAGATCCCGAGATGAGGAACCCTCCCCAGGTACCATTTCCTGGAGTCCCCCCCATAGACGGACAAATCATCTTCCCCCCAGCAGGTCATGTGCTCAGATCTTCTATCACCTTCTCAGTGATGAAAGGATATCCTGAAAACATCTCCTGTGGGGGGTGCTCGTGGACTGAAGCTGAGGAACACTCGGCATCCCCAGCGCTGGCTTTAGGTTTACTGCACTGGGAGTTTCATCTTACTACAGTACAACCCGGGGGAAGGGGGGGCGCATTCAAGAATGAGGAACGCACTACACGTCAGCATTTACCCCTAGGGGCCGTCGTTTCTTCCCCTCCCCCGCCTGTAACAATTAAAGTGGACCTGTAGATTTAGACATTCTAGTATCACATTATCATTAACAAGACATGATCCTCACTGACCTCAAAGTTCACAGCAGAAGCATTAAACCTGCTCAGGGGAACAGGGTGGGATCAGCTACTTAGTCACTGCTGGGAGGTGGTAGTAGGGAGGTCCAAGCTACTGAGTCACTACTGGGAGAGGGAGCAGGGGAAGCTGAACTGCAGAGCAGCTGCTGGGAGGGGGGAGCAGAAGGAACTGTGGTGGTGAGTTATTGCTACGAGGGGGGAAACAGGGGGAGCGGAGCTGCTGGGAGAGGCAGATGAGCTGCTGAGTCACTGC